GAGAGAGAGAGAGAGAGAGAGAGAGAGAGAGAGAGAGAGAGAGAGAGAGAGAGAGAGAGAGAGAGAGAGATGGAAAAAAGTATCGGAATCAGGTTGGTGATCCCGACTTACGACTGTATTGGGAAGGGCTCCATTACGGTTGTAAGTTGAGGCCTTCTCGGGAGCTCTGCTTGCAGATCCCTCCTTCCCCCAAATAGCCATGCTATAGCCTTGTTGGCCACCGGTCCCTCCAGCAGCTGAATCAAAAGAGGGAGGAGGCAGCGTGGGACTCAGGCAACTGAGGCAACTGGAGAGTTCCGAGGAGGAAGAGGAGGGAATGGAGTGGCAGAGAGAGAGAGAGAGAGAGAGACAGAGAGAGACAGAGAGAGAGAGAGAGACAGAGAGAGAGACAGAGAGAGAGAGACACACAGAGACAGACAGACAGACAGACAGACAATGTGGCAGACAACTTCAGGCCGGATGGACTTGTTAGGCTGCAGTGAAAGAGGAACTCTTCGCTGGGGCTCTGAATAAAGGAATCTTTTGAGTTCCCGTATTTTTCAGAGTATAAGATTCACCTTTTTCCCCTCAAAAAGAGGGTGAAAATCTGGGTGCGTCATACGCTGAATACAGCCTTTTTGGCCTCCTGAAACACTGCCCCCTTCACCAAAATGGCCGTGCATAGCCTTTAGGAGGCTTCCAGAGTGCTGCTGGGGGCTGGGGAGGGCAGAAATGAGCGAAAAACGGGCCGTTTTTTGCTCGTTTTTGCTCCCCCACAGCCAGTCCCTAGGAGCACTCTACAAGCCTCCTAAAGGCTATGCACAGCCATTTTTTTTTTATTTTATATAAAAAACGGATCGTTTTGGGGAGATCTGCAGAGTGCAAAAACTTTATTAAAAAAATTTGCCTCTTCAAAGTCTTGGTGCGTCTTATACTCCGGTGCGTCTTATACTCCGAAAAATACGGTAACTTCACACGGTTTGTCGTGTTTGGGGAGCTGGGTCAGAATACTTACCTGTATCCAACCAGTTTCCTCTTTTCCTCCCCCTCAGCGAGCAGCAAGAGTAGCAACACCAGCAAATACTTCGGCAGCATCGACTCGTCCGAGAATGATTTACGGGCCAAGAAGCGGTCCGAGGCAGAGGACAATGAACACTTCATGAAGTACGTCCTCCAGGATCCCATCTGGTTGCTGATGGCCAACACCGACGATAAAGTCATGATGACCTATCAGCTGCCCACCAGGTGAGTCCTTTCCCGCTGCTGGATTTCGGACCCCGCTCGATTCTCGAGGTTTTTTAGGATCCTCCGAGAGAGAAGGAAACAGAAGCTTCTGCTCTCGTTAAGGGCAGGGGTCAGCAACCTTAAACAACTCAAAAGAGACATTTGGATCCGCTTCCCACAGAAAAGAAAAAAACGGCAGCCACAAAAACGATTGGGGGTCGAAAAGCTCAATAAACTGCATGCCGGCGAGTGTCACACCTTGATGGTTGTGAAGCATATTTTGAGCGATAGGGATGAAAGAGCCACATTGCGGCTCCAGAGCCACATGCGGCTCCAGAGATTGCCAACCCTGGGTTAAGGGGGATGCTGGGATCCCGGAGGTGTGTGTGTGTGTGTGTGGCTTTTGTTTGCTTTAATTTTGGTTGGAGTTCTGGGGATGGGTGTCACGGAGAGGGGGGGGGGGCACTTCTGGCCGCCCCGTAGGAGAGGCCGATTGTCCTGCATTTCTGACCCACTGATCCGCTGTCTCTCTTCGGCAGGGACATGGAGACCGTCCTTCAGGAGGATCGCGAGAAACTGAAGCAGCTGCAGAAGCAACAGCCCCGATTCACGGAAGACCAGAAGAGGGAGCTGGCCGAGGTCCATACCTGGCTACCGAAGGGGGTCCTGCCCAAAGCCATTAACGTCACGGTGAGGAGACCACTGGCGGCGCCTGGGGGTGGGAGGGATGTTGGGAGCAACGAGAGGGCACTGGAATTACGGATTCACAGAGTTGGAAGGGACCTTGGAGGTCTTCTAGTCCAACCCCCTGCCTAGGCAGGAAACCCTATACAGTTCCAGACAAATGGTTTATCCAACATCTTCTTAAAGACTTCCAGTGTTGGGGCATTCACAACTTCTGGAGGCAATTTCTGTTCCACTGATTAATTTGTTCTCACTGTCAGGAAATTCCTCCTCAGTTCTAAGTTGCTTCACTCCTTGATTAGTTTCCACCCATTGCTTCTTGTTCTACCCTGAGGTGCCACGCCCATTCATCTACCCTGGCCGCACTTACTAGCCTTTCAGGAGTGACTGTCCGTGCGAGTGATATCAAGCTGGCCACGCCCATTCGCCCACCTTGACCGCATTTACTGGCCTTTCAGGAGTGACAGTCCATGCGAGTGATGTCAAGCTGGCCATGCCCATTTGCCCACCCTAGTCACGCCCCTCCTGGCCCCGGGAGGACAATTACCATGCCGATCCGGCCCTTGATGCATCGAGTTTTGACACTCCTGTTGTATAATACCGGCTGCCCCATTCAGAGAGGAGCGTGAAGTAAACCCTACCCTAAACTTAACCATCGATGTCTTCCTCTTCCAGGACGCAACCTCTCGGGTCTCCCCGCTTTACGACTTGGTGATCCAGGATATGGACCTACGCCCATTCGCCCACTCTGGCCGCAGTTGCTGGCCTTTCAGGCGTGACTGTCCGTGTGAGTGACATCAAGATGGCCACACCCATTCATCTACCCTGGCTGCACTTACTAGCCTTTCAGGAGTGACTGTCCGTGCGAGTGACGTCAAGCTGGCCATGCCCCTTCGCCCACCCTAGCCACGCCCCTCCTGGCCCCCGGAGGACAATTACCATGCTGATCCGGCCCTCGATGCATCGAGTTTTGACGTTGTATAATACCACCTGCCCCATTCAGGGAAGTAAACCCTACCCTAAACTTAACCATCAATGTCTTCCTCTCCCCCTTCCAGGCCTGCATCGAGTGTGAGAGTAACGCAACCTCTCGGGTCTCCCCGCTTTACGACTTGGAGATCCAGGATATGGACCTAAGCGGTATGTTGGAACCGATGGAGGAGGGTAACGGGGCACAGGTCTCGCCGCCTTCCTTACCGCTGGAAATTGCCATGGAAGAGGAGGAAGCCGGCGAGAGTCGGGACCAGGCCCACCGGCCAGAAGCAGAAGCTCAGGAGACCAGCTAAGGCTTGGAGAGGACTTTCTGATCATCTCGGACGTCGCTCGGATGAGGGAGCCAGGCTGCTGAGCAGCAGGACTCGGCCGCCGAGGCACGCAGCTGGCGGGCATCTCACCCCGTGCAAGCACCCCATGTCCGGGCCTTGTTTAAACCAGAAACCTCTGGGCTGGCGGGTTTCCAGGAAGGGGTACCCCCTCCCTCGCCTTTCGCGGACGTCTTCCTATCCTTCGACGGGACCCGGCCACTTTAATCCTCGCGCCGTTTAATCCTCACGGCGTTCTGGACGCAGGGTCGTGGACTCCCGAGAGTCCCGGGTGTTTTTTGGTGGCGGGGGGGAAGCGGGCGAGGGTGACGCGCGTTTTTAAGTATTTATTTTACATATTTTTTTGACAATTCTGTCCTTGGTGGGTTTACTGGTGTTTTTGTTTTTTTTTACTGATCTGCCGCCGTGTTCCAGAAGGGGGACGGCGCGCAGCGCTGAAAAATAGTAAGGATGATGAGGATAATGATAATAAAAGAAAAAAGGTGAATTGCAGACCGAGATGTTCACACATCCTTTTGTGTCGCTTTGCCACCACTTGAGGTCTGAGATCTACTCCGGGAGGGGTGGGTGGGTGGGTGTTTTCCTCCGGAACAGCTTCTCTTGGAAGGAGTCCACGGAGGTTTCCTTGCAGACGTTTCACGAGCCGACTAGGTAACGTCATCCGGGCTAGCAGGCGGTTTGCTCTCTGTTTATGTCCAAGTGGCCTGGCCTGCCAGTGTCTGGGGGAGGGCTGTTTTCTTCCTCTTGGTGGTCCTTTGATTGGGCTTTTGTTAAATTGTGTCATTGCTTGTCTGAGTTGGGTAATTGGCAAACGTAAACAGCAAACCCCTCTCCTCCTGGCACTGATGATATTACCTAGTTGGGTAAAGAAACGTCTGCAAGAAAGCAACCAAGCTCGGACAACACCAATGACCCTACAGTTCCTCCTCCTCTTCCTCCATCTCCTCCTCCATCTCCTTCCCCTCCTCCACCTCCTCCTCTTCCTTCATCTCCTCCTCCTCCATCTCCTTCCCCTCCTCCTCCTCTTCCTTCATCTCCTCCTCCTCCATCTCCTTCCCCTCCTCCTCCTCCTCCT